TCTCTCTCTCTCTCTCTGTGTCTCTCTCCAGTGAGCATGCATGCCCTATAGCAAACTTAAAAAAAAAAAGTGCTCGATGTACATTTAAAAAAATGTGCATGAATGCTCACAGCAGTCTTTATTATTATTATTATTATTAAAGTTTTTATTTATTTATTCTAAGACAGGGAGAGAGACAGAGGCAGGCACCCCAGCAGGGTCTTCATGCTGCGGTCCTTACCCATTTCAGCAGCCTGGATCACGGGCATGCATGTGTGCTTGGCATGTTCAGAGCCGTCCTGGGATGCAAACATTCAAACTGTCTCATGTGGCTCCAGTTACATTACTACTGCACCATCCTGGCCCCTAGGTGTACAATTTATAAAGTTGTTACTAGCACCGTGTGACTTTTCAGACCTGCAGTCTGACAATAAAATCAAGAGCTTTGCTGAATCTTTAAAAAGCAGTTCATCAGAGAAAAGGTACAATTCCAGCCCACAAAGATCACCCTACAATCTGTTTAAATTATGAAGTGGATCCAATCCAACAAAAAAAGACTGGTTTACTGAAGAAATTTGGTTTTCAAACATATCTACACTCCCCAGGGTTCTTTTGTAAAGGTGTGGCAAAGAGATAAAGAATGGAATTCTGGGAGAAAGGTGTCTTTATCCATAAAATCTGTGGAGAAAGAGTCAGTGACAAACACACCAGAAGGAAAAGCCGGAAAACGACACCCCGACCAGGCGGTAAGTACGGTCCTCTGGAAACACGCTGAGCCCAGAACCAGAACATGGGTGCTTGGCCCTTCTCAGTACTAAAGGGGATATGAGGACAATGATGTTTACTTGTTTTAATTTTACTAATGTTCCCCTCATAGACATGAGGGGAAATTGGCATAAAATAGAGCTCTTTCGATTTCTTGGAAGATATATTCTAAGTTAAAAATCATGAAAGCTGAGTTATTTGGCTTTTCCTGGGCAAGTTCAGTATGAGATTGAAGGGAGGAACAAAATTGCAGAGAATAGTGCAGTACCTTTGCGTTAAACTGTATTTGTTCAGGCTGGCTTGAAAGCTGTGTGAGTTTAGGCTTAGCACATACTTGTGCCGAACCCTCTCCTCATCTGTAAAGTGGGTACAATGTAATAATAGAAAAATGGGAATATGTGGTGAGTGCATAGACATATTAGTGATTCTTTTCATTGACTTTGTGATTTGGAAAGTAAACGTATTTCTGAGATATGTCATTGTATAATATAGTGAATGCTTGTAAAACAGGATCCTAGTACTGGCTGCTGACTTTTGAAGGTTTGATCTCTTTGGTGTTGGAAACCTTGAGCTGGTGAAGACGAGCAAGTATGAGTGGTTTGGTTTGCTTGGAGTTTTGAGAGGTTTAGAGCAGAAGGGTGTGGCCAGCTTGGGAAGCTGGGCAGGTTTCAGTGTTCAGACTTTGCCTCAGAGGCTTTGGGAAGCTGTTCAGTGCCTTTAAGGTGGGGTAGGTATTTAGAGAGATACCTGAGGAGATTTTAAAAAAATAAATAAAAGTAATCTGCTCCCTGGATTCTCTCTCCTGCACATAGTCTGGAGCTGCAGAGAGCTGGGAACTTCATCAAGCTTACTTTCTTAACTTCCTACTCTAAAGCTGCCCCAGCTTGGCCAGACAGTCATGCTTTAGTTCCTAGCCTATTTCGTCTCTTAAAGCTTCCCCCCAATACTCCAGATCTCTTCGCCATTCTCATTGGCACTTTCTTTTAATTGCCAGAAGGCTTACACCAGAGAGAAAGCAGTGCTGCTAACATGCACACTTCCCCCAATGGGGCATGGTCTCAGCACAATCGCTTCTCTATGCTGTTTAGATTTGGGGCAGGCGTACATATGCCTACTGTGGTTTTCAAGCCACTGGGAGTGTGATTTGAACCTTCTGTTTGCCATGTGGGATCTGGCCCTCATCCACTAAGATACAGGCTGGTCCTCACTGTCACTTTTGATGGAATTTCCTCCTTCACTGATACATAATCAAGTCAGGGCTTCCCAGACATACTCATTTGGGAAGTATGCACTGACTTAATACCCCTGGTGGTGTATAAGCCAAACCCTCTAATTTTGGTGCTGGGTTCCATTCCTTCATGGCTCCAGCAAAATTTCCCTTTCCTCAACCCATTTTTTTTCTCTTCTTGATCATTCTCTAGATGGTATAAATATTTTACAAATGAGCAGAGACTCAGCAAAACTATACGCTGAGTTTAAACTGATACAGCTTTCGAGCCAACCTAAATAAATCCAGTTTAACACAAAGGGACCACCCTATTTTCTGATATTAAGAAAATGAACTTTCTCTTGATTTTTTTTCCTTGACCTGAGCTCTCCTTTTTGTGTCTTGGTTGCAAAATTCCTTGAAAGCATTGCTTACTTCCAATTATCTCCTGATTTTCTTTTTTTTTTTTTCCTGTAAAGTTTCTTTTCTTTTTTTCTTGAGAGGTTTTTGCTATAGAGTGCGTGCGCTCCCCAGAAAGACAGAGAGAGACAGAGAGATAGAAAGTGAGAAGTCATCTCCCCAGAGGGGATGGCCATGCCGAAATCCTTTCTCCTCCATTCTTCTCTTGGGATCTTGGGCACATGGACACATGCGCGGTGTGAGTTTAAGCCACCTGGTCTGGGACTCAAACAATGGTCTACTACATGGGAGTCCAGCGACATAGCCATTACGCCAACTGCAGGTCCCCCTGTAAGTTTTTTACTGAAGTGCGACATACTAAGGTCACCAACAAGCTCCAGGTTGTTTAGTTTTATGGACAAGTCCCATCCGCTGCCTTTGCGGTATTTGACTCAGGATCATTGCCTGTGCAGACATTTGCTTCGCTTGGTTTTAACACCCTATTTATTTATTTAACTATCTTTTTTTATTAAAATTATTTTATTTAATTTTATTCATTATAGTTATTTTATTTTTTAAGTTGACCAGAGAGAGACACAGAGAGAGGGGGAGTGAGAAAGCAAGCTGTCAGGTCTGGGACTTGAACTGTAGTCAGCCATGTGGGAGTCTAGAGCCTTAGTGACCATACCACCTGCTGGCCCCAATTTGACGTTTAGAAAAAAATTTATTATTATTATTTTTAAATTTGGGCACATGTGCTCTCTGGAGAGAGACAGATAAGGGAAAGGTGAGAAATCAAGTTGCCAGATTTGGGACTCAAACTATGGTCAGACATGTGAGAGTTCAGCGCCTTCAATATTTTGAGAGAGAAAGAAACCTCATATCTATATAATTTTGTTACAATATACTGTTAAAATTGTTTTATTTTGTTAGTTATTATTGTTAATCAGTTATTGTGTCTAATTTGTAAATTAAACTTTATTACACGTATGTACATGGAGACTTCAAAAATTCATGGAAAAATGGAGTTAAAGGTATGAGTTTATTTTGGTGCAAACAATTGAAATCTATGCATGGTTTCTTAAGAATATACATTTTCCATGAACTTAATTTTAATACTATATATGGTTTTAGGCATCCCCTGGAGGTCTTGGGAAATATCCTCTATGGATAATGGGGGACTACTCTTAAGTCACTGAAACCCCCAGGTGGGGCTGGGTGGTCTGGAAAACTCTGAGTCTAGAATATGTGTTGCCATCTAGTTTTATATCATAAAAAGAAAAAACTTGAGTATTATGTAGATTCTGAATTTTAAATTTTGGCCATTAATTAAAAAAAAATATATATGTATGTATATAGTCAGAGGACATGTGTGCTTGCCAGAGAGAGACAGAGAGGAAGAGGGAGCGGGCATACTCCAAAGGGGCATGGTCACACCACGATCCTTTCTCCTCCATCTTTCCATCCTGTTGGAATTTTGGCCATGCACACATGCACATGTGCCCCTGTGTCTTTCAAGTCACTAAGGCCAGGATTTGAACCATAGTTAGCCATGTAGGATCTAGCTTCCCTTAACTACTGCTAGGCTACAAGGCAAGCCCAAGAAATTGATTTTTAAACACCACCATTCAGAACATTTCTGCAGGCCAAATATGGTTTTTGGGGAACTGGTTTGTAGCATTGTGCTTCAGATCTAGTCCTAATACAGAGGCTGCCATTCCCAGGTGGTGTGGGACCCAGAGCCACAGTGTACCAAGATCTTCCACTTCTCTAAGAAGCTGCCATGGTCTGCAAGAAATGAGACATCATTTTCCCCCTGGGAGAAAGTTACTGAATTTCTCAAACAGAAGGGGAGTTAATGAAGTACTAGGGAGGCTTACTCATGTTTGACTAGTTTAATGTTTAAGAGCAAAATTCATAAGCCAAAGGCTAGAAATGTTGCACTTACTCAACATCTTCAAGCCTCAGCTTCCTCCTCAATGAATGGGATTAATAACAGCACTTGCCTCAGGGTTCTGTGAAGATTGAAAGCATGTGGTGCTTAGCACAGAGCCTGCTACAAAGTGAATTCTCTAAAAACTTTAGCTAGTGTTAATAAACCATATTTAGGTTTAGTTTTCAAAGTTTTTCCACAGCCCTTTTGCTTATTATTTCAATCCTTTGATTTTTTTTTTTTTTTTTTGGTAAATTTGTTTATTTTGAAAGAGCCTCTCCCAACCTTAGAGTCAGCCACCAGATGCCTGCGATATGTTTGGGACTACCTGGGTTTGAGTTTTGGGCTGTCCCATATGACTTCAGCATCCCATAGGAGTGCCCTCTGCCTGTGCTGCCATGGCTGGGCCATAGAGCATGTATTTTTGTGTTGTTTTACAAAATGAGAAAATGAAGGCATGGAGGGGCTCAGTGACTCTCAGGGTTACCCACCTATGTGAATGACAGAGCTTGTGTCTGAGCCCATGTGTGGTCATCCAGACTTCTGCTTCTTGAAGAATTCTCTTGACATTGCTTAGTAGGGTGTGGTCTGAGCAAGGTGTCCAGAAGCCTGCATGAGAAGATGCAGTGACTCACATTTTGGCTTTGTTCTTGTTAATGGTGAACTTGGCTTCCTGTCTGGTTGAGGCTAGGTAAATTAACCATTGTGGCCACTGAGCAGAAAGAGTATCTACCAGACGGTCAGTTCACTTTTGCTTTCATCTCAGCGGCCAAGAACAAGTGCATCTCTGCCACTGGAAGGCTGGGCTGTACTCTGGTGTCTCCCTTGAACCACACTGTTAGTCTCTACTTCTAAGTTCCTTCCTGTTTGCTCTCTTATCTCCTGTGTCAGGATCTGGAGCCATTTTAGAAGAAGTGTGGGGCAGAAGCTGGGAAATAAGGGGCTGTTTCCACAGCTGTTCCTTGCAGCTGGAAAGTACAGAGTTCTCAGCCATTGAGATTTCTGGGGGTCCTGGAGCTGTAGAGTGAACTCTCAGACCCAGCTGGCAGACTCATGTGATCTGCCCAGTCAGGGTGAAAGGAGAAGTTTCAATCTTAAAATTAAGACTTGTGCCGATATCCTCTGGCGAGGGACACAGCCAATCAGTCTGTCTTCTCATTTTTCAGGCCAACACCATAATGCATCCTTGGGTAATCATCTTAAGTCTCATACTACTGCTGACAGGTAAGTGCGTAAGTGGACTGGGTGGTCTGGAACCCCAAAAGATAGGGGATTGGAAGAATTTGGAGAGGAGGAGGAGGGGAACATAAATGTTCCTTGAGCTTTGCTGGATGGTTATGGGCTAACTAGCGAGCAGAGAACCAGAATGAAGTCTTCCTCCACAGAAATTGCTTAACTGCTATGAATTGTAAAATGCGTGGCTAACTGAACAAAGCTAAGATGTAAAACAGTATGCCACATGCTTCCACTTGCGTTTAAACAGAAAAGGGTGGGTAGATGTTTATGCGTAGACACACATAAGAAATAGTTAACGGTGTTGCCATGCAGTAGTTATGGGTGGGGAGAGGAAGAGGGGGTCAGGATCAAAGGGAGAGTCAGCCCTTTATTGTTTTCTTTTGTGCCTTTTGATTTTTTTAAACATGTTCAATTATTTTTTCTAAAAGTAAATAATTTAAAATAGCCTATGAAATAAAGAAAAAAATCAAATAGACATATTCTAAATTAAAACAAATTAAAATTATTTATTTCATTTTATTTATTTATTCATTCATTTTTAATTTGACCGGAGAGACACACACAGACAGAGAGAGAGAGAGAAGGTGAGAAAGCAAGCCACCAGGTCCAGGACTTGAATTGTGGTCAGCCATATGGGAGCGTCCAACGCCTTAACCACCATGCCACCTGCTGGTCCCCCCCTCAAATTTTTTTAATAGAGATTTTTGCCTTAAAGTGCATGCACTCACTGGAGAAAGAGACAGAGACAGTGAGAGGGAAAGTGAGAAATTACTCCCAGGGGGATGGCCACACTGTAATCCCTTCTTCATTCTCCTCACAAGATCTTGGATATGAATGCACACGTGCCTGGCTTGAGTTTTAAGTCACCAGGTCTGGGACTCAACCTTGGTAGACCATGCGGGAGTCCAGCAAAGTAACCACTACACACCATCTGCTGGCCCTGTATTCCAAATTTTAAAAACTTTTCTGGAAGATGAGGAGATGGGGGAATGTTTATTTTTTTATTATGTATTTTTATAACTTAATTGCAATAGCATTCATTATTCTTGTGATCCAAAATAATGTGATTAAGTAAAATTAATTATAAGAATTCCAAAGAAAAACATACATTTATTTTATATAACAATAAATGTTTTTCTCCAGAACATTTCTCAAACTTATAGCCTGGTCTTAAATATAATTAGTTAGTGAATCTCAAATATTTTAAAATATTGAATCTATCTCTCTATATTTTTTTACTAGAAAGCACATTACCTTGCCAGAGAAAGACAGAGAAACAGAGGGACAGAGGGGGCAGGAGAGCTGAAACCACCTCTGTTCCACTCATGGGCAATGGTCACACTGCAATCCCTTTTCCTCTATCTTTTCCTCCTCTCAGGATTTTTGGCACACATGCACACCTGCCCTGTATGTTTCTCACTGTCTGATGGGAATGCAACCATGCACTTGGCCACATGGAATTTTCCCCTATTTCATAGGGAAATAGACACATTCCAAATATTTTAATTTTATTGAGGTTTTTGCCTTAAGATACATGCGCTTGCAGGAGAGAGAGAGAGACAGAGACAATGAGAGGGAAAGTGAGGAATCATCCCCCGGGGGGATGGCTACTTTGTAGTCCCTTCTCCAGCCATCCATGAATGACCCTAAAATTAAAAGCTCAAAATTGAAATACAATAAGATATTTTTTTAAAGAGATTTTTTGCTATAGGGTGCATGCACTTGCTGGAGAGACAGAGACAGAGAAAGGCAGTGAGAAACTACCCCTCGAGGGATCTCTGTGTTGCAATCCCTTCTCCTCCATTCTGCTCTTGGGATTGTGGGCATGCATTCACACATGCTCAGTGTGAGTTTGAAGCTACCGGGTCCAGGATTTGAACCATGGTCAGCCATTGGGAATCTAGCGACATAACCATTCTGTCATCTGCTGGCCCACAATAAAATTCCTTTTAAAAATGTATTTCAACAGATACTGTGATTGAATCTGGGAGAAGGGACTAGGGCACTGAAGTAGGAGGAAGACTTTTCATTTCACACATGCTCAGTGTGAGTTTGAAGCTACCGGGTCCAGGATTTGAACCATGGTCAGCCATTGGGAATCTAGCGACATAACCATTCTGTCATCTGCTGGCCCACAATAAAATTCCTTTTAAAAATGTATTTCAACAGATACTGTGATTGAATCTGGGAGAAGGGACTAGGGCACTGAAGTAGGAGGAAGACTTTTCATTACATGCCCTTTTGTGCTATTTTTATTTTTTAAAGCCACATGCACATATTACTTATTTTTTTATGGCTGAATAGTATTCCATGGAGTATATGTGCCACACTTTTTCAATCCATTCATCCATTTGTAGACATTTGGGGTGGTTAATTGCTATACATAATTTAGATTGTAAAGAGACTTTACCCAGTGTGAGGCACACCTCAGTCAGCCCAGTTGAGAACATACGCACGTCCTCATCAACAAATAATAAACCATATCCGCGTCCCACAAATGCCTTATCTCTCCATTTTCCCCCAAATTTTCTTTCCTATGTTTTCCCCTCCCCCACTCCATTTATATATTACTTGTATAAAAACTAAGAAGCAGATACCTGGCAAACAGAGGCTGAAATCCACAGTCATTTATTACTTGAGTGTCATTTGGTTCAAGTGTTTTGGAAAGCAATTTGGCCATATTCATCTAAACACTGAAAATAGGACTGCACCTGTAGGACAGCAGCTAAGTGCTGCGCATAGGAGCCTATTCCACACGACTGACTGCAGATCAAATCCCAGTCCTCTGTGGCTGGAAAAATGCCCTGGGCACATGTGTATGCATGCCCCGAGTCCTAATGGAATGAAGAAATGAAAGAAAGATTGCAGTGTGATGATGGGCCATTGCAGAGAGCATTCTCTCTTTCCTCTCTGGTGACCTCTGGCCAAAAAAAGAAAAAAAAAAAGTCTGAAAATACTACAGCCTTTTATCTTGGTAAATTCTCTCTTAGAAATCTATTCTAGTACATTTAGTAGATCTAAACTAAATATAGTACATTTTTATATGGAAATAATTGTGACATTATTTACAATAGTAAAAATAAGACATACCCTGAATATCGTATAGTACAATAAATGATTTTATTCACAAATATGCCCATTAAACAATAATACTTATAATGAAAATTCAAGCTATAAAATTCTGCTGATAAAAGACTATAGAAAGAAAAAAATGAAAATAATTGAATTAAAAGGTAAATTACAATGTTAAGACAATATTGGGGCCTTGTTCTGTTTCCCTTCCCCTTTATCACAGATGCTGCAGTTTCTGATGTACAAATTGGTGGAGTGGTGGGTCAACCTGTCACATTGCCCTGCACCTACTCAGCTGCCAGGGAAGGGGTCACAAGCATGTGCTGGGGCCGAGGAGCGTGTCCTTCATTCAGATGCGCAAATGAACTTATCTACACTGATGGAACCCACGTGACCTATCAGCAGATCCGTCGGTACAAACTACTGGGGGACCTTTCGTCAGGAGATGTGTCTTTGACTATAGAGCACGCAAGTGAGTCAGACAGTGGTCTGTATTGTTGCCGAATTGAGATACCAGGATGGTTCAATGATATCAAAATCACCCTAAAGTTGGATATTGAACCAGGTGAGTTTGTCTTCTCTTCCTTTGATATTTTATGCTAGTTAACTGAGTTTTCTATTTGGAGATACCAATATTTTTCTCTTCTTTAATAGGTAAAGCGAAGGTTTCTCTAATCCTGCTTTTTAATAATAATTCTTACTCCTGGGATAGAAGAATATCCTTTACTTGTGGAGATGAGGTTGTAAGAGCAACCTTGATTCAAGGCCATAGGCTAGAATCATCAAGTGACCTCTTAAAATAGTACTTTAAACTGCATTCACTCTTCTTCATTGAAATATAGTGAATATTTTTATCAAGCTGAATTTATTCACTTAAAGAACTGCCTCCTTTCTCTGCCCCCTTTCTATGTTCACCTGTTGCTTTTAAGAAATCAATAAGGGTCAGTAGGTGGCATGGTGGTTAAGGCACTGTATTTTCACATGGCCAACTGTGGTTTGAATCCCAGAACTGGCAGCTTGAAAATCACAATAAGTAAGTAGATAAATAAATGTTAAAAAAAGAAATGAATGAAATCGAAATTTTTGAGAACATAATAAATATTTTTCCATCTTGATGTAGACATCTTATTTTCCTTATTGTTAGATAAAAGGAGGTAATCGAGGATTTTCTGGTTTTTGGTGTTCATTTCTAATGAATCTCCTTCCACTGAAGTCTTGCCTTTTGACAATAGAATTCAAGATCAGTGGCCTTAATAAGTTGTCTTCCTTCCTTCCTCCCTCCCTACCTCCTTTCCTTCCTTCCTTTCTTTCTTTCTTTGCTATAGAGTGTGTGCGCTCGCCAGAAAGACAGAGAGAGACAGAGACACAGAAAGTGAGAAATCATCCCCCAGGGGGATGGCCATGCCACAATCCCTTTTCCTCCATTCTCCTCTCGGAATCTTGGGCTCACACACACGTGTGCCCGGCATGTGTTTACGCCACTGGGTTCAGAACTCGAACTGTAGTCCAGCGTGGGAGTCCAGCGACATAGCCATTCTGCCAACTGCTGGTTCCTCTTTTTTTTTAAAAAGAAATTTTTGCTATAGGGTACATGTACTTACTGGAGAGAGAGAGAGAGAAAGAGAGAGAGAGAGAGAGAGAGAGAGAGTGAGAGAGAGAGAGGGAAAGTGAGAAATCACTCCCCAGAGAGAATGGTCTCTCTGCAATCCTTTCTCCTCCATTCTTTTTCTGGGATCGTGGGCACACATGCACATGTGTCTGGCGTGAATCTCAAGTTTGGGGCTGGGACTTGAACTGTGGTCGGCCAGGTGGGAGTCCAATGATGTAACTTCTACACTATCTGCTGCCCTCTACCCCCTTTTTAAATTGTGAGCAACTTTATTTTGCAAACTCTCAGTTCTTGGACTTGGCTTGCTTCTCTTATAAAAGGCAAATGATATGAAAACCATTCTGATGGAGAAAATCACTGACTCTGAGAAACTAGGATGGGAAGGCAATTTAGGAAAGCGAAAGAAGTTGGTGATTTCATGCACTACCAATAAGTGTGAGGAGGCAGCATGTAGAGGAATGATTGTCATTACAAACTTCTTGGAGATGTGAAATTATATTACTAATCTGACTGAATTTTGTTGATAGCATAAAAATAAATTAGTAGGAAACTTCTGTAATGCTTAGAAATTCTTTAATAGGTAGATATTTGCAAAAGCATTGGTCAGTCCAGTTAGAGAAAGGGTCCATAAGAGAGCCAAAGTGACTCAGCCGCACCCCCAGTAATCAATTCAATGCCTACATTTTCTTGAACTTCTCACAGACTGAAACGTAGGGCTTCTTCTCAACAGCTCATTCTTTTTTGCAACTTCTTCTTGGAGAAAAATCCCTGAAGAAGAAAAGTGAATGAAATGATTAGGTTTCCTCCTTTATTGTTCCTAGTACAAAACTGGGACCAGATTTATTGCATGTTTGCTTTTTTTCCCTCTAGATTAGATTTTAAACTGTGGAGGGAGGAGATTAAATTGCTCTCAGACCTTTGACTACTCATTAGATCAAGGATAGCAAATTATAGCTCCAGGGCTACATAAGATTATAAAGTAGACCCACCACCTATTTCCAAATCAAGTTTTACTGGAACACAACCACACTCATTGATTTATTAGTATATATTGTGTATGGCTTCTTTCAAAGTGACAAGAATTGAACAGTTGCCATTGTTCCATAGGACCTCCAAGCCCAAAATATTAAGTATCTGGCCATTGACAGAAAAACTTTGCTGACCTCTGCTGTAACTAATTTCTTGTACATAATAAATATGTAAAAAAAAACATTTTTCTCTTCAAGTTAAAAAATTGACTAGATTTCAAATTAAATTGTGTCCCCCGAGGAGGAAAAGCTTTCAAATGAGTAGTCACCTATTTAAGGAAACTGAAGTTTTATTTTTGTTAGTAGTGTTGAGATTTAAGGAAACTTCTTATAGGGAAAAAAGAAGTGCCTTATGAGGAAAAAGTACAGTATTCCTTGATTCATACCTTTATTGACCTACTTTTGTACTAGACACTTGAATTAATTTTAGTCTCCACTCTCTCTCTGGGTAGCTCTGAGACCTTCTGTAAGCTGTTTGGATTTCAGTAGCACTTCTGACTCTGGAAGAGGTTATTACCTCTTGTAAACTTGCAAATTACTCTGAAATGGAAAGAAACTTCAGAAGATCTTGTCCACCTTCTAGCCCAGTGTACAAATCCTTTGTTCTGGTCCTCACATGGCATCTAGCACAGGCTAATGGGCACGAGTTAACCCTCAGTTAAGAGGTAGGTCTATAGGGTGTGAAACTTTAGGACTGAGTGCACTGAATGCTCTTTATTTGGTAAACATTCTGGGCCTGGGAACTACTGTCGAAGTCTTTGTTATTACCATAAAGAGAAGGGCAAAGAATAGCTCCAGGACCTAGACTCTTTCCTACTGTGTGCTCTCTTCTGAATATATTCCCTTCAATGCAACTGCTTCCTATTTTGTGAACAGGCCCTATAGCTGATTATAGTTGGCTAATGGCAGATGGAGAGTTCAGGAGTGATAATTCAACCTAGGGACAGTTGCTCTTGTGAGTGTGTCTTTATTTATTTATTATTCTGTTGCTATAACAGAATACATGAGATTGGGTCATTTATAAGAAAAGAAGTTTAGTCAACATCAAGTTGTTGGGGCTGGGAAGTTCAAAATCAGGTAGCAGCACTTGGTGAGGGCCTCATGCTTGGTCATAAATGATGATTTGCATTACATGGCAGGAATACATGTAGCAGTGGTAAGCAAGTGTGTACAAAAAAGGTGACCTCAATTTCTTCTTCTTCTTCTTTTTTTTTTTTACTTGCCATAGGGCAGGAACACTTACTGGAGACAGAAAGATAAAGAAAGAGAGACAGAGAGAAAATGAGAAAGCACACTTCAGAGGAGATGACCATACCACAATCACTCCTCCTCCATTCTTCTCTTGGGATTCTGGATACACATCCACACATGCTTGGCATGTTTTTCAAGCTGCAGAATCTGGGACTCAAACCTTATGGAATCCAGCCACTTCACACCACCTGACAGGCCCAGAGTGACCTTGCTTTATAATGACTCTCTCTTAAAGAAACTTATCTAGTCCCATGAGAGTGAAAACTCACCACCCCAAGATGAGATGGCATTAATCCTTTCCAGAAGATGGATTCCTCATGGTGCAAACACCTCTTAGCGCTCCCACTATCTCTCAGACACCATCATGCTGGCAGCCAAGCCTCAGAGTTTTGGTGGAGATAGGACAAACCATATTCCCACAATAACGGCATGCTAGGGTTCAGTCCTGGCCTGAGGCACTCGTTTCTCACTGCTTGACTAATCCTCGCTTCCATGTTGCTTTCTAACTCTAGCCAGAACCACAAGTGCTCCAACAACTACTAGGGTTTCTACTACTGCTCCTACAACGCCAGCATCCACAAAGAGCCCCGAACCAGGTAACGAAACGTGTTTCAGAGCCCAGAGGCCTTCTAGCAGACCATTAAGAGCATTATGTAAGGCAGAGGTACAGTCTTGGGTAAGAGACCTCACCAGGATTCCAAACATGGCCTTTACCAGGTTTGTGATCCTCCCTCTCTCTCCAGATAATATGCGCTTTTGGTATAAATAACCATTTTCTGAGTGAGGGTACCTCTCACTTTTGCCATAGGGTGGGTACCACTATGCCCAGGTACTCTTCACATTTTATCAGATTCTCAAAGGGATTATTATTAGCCAAAAATAGCTGGACCACTGATCCAGGACATGTAATGGGGATGATGTAGCTCAGGCAGAGCTAGACACAGTTTTTATGATGAAAAAGTAATGAAAGTGTCAGATTAATGTGATGGCTCACACAAGGAGTTTTGAGGGTATGCTTTTAACAAAGTGAATATTTAGTGTTCCTATGTACCAGGCACCATGCTACATCCTTTAAGATATTACATCATTTAATTCTTAGGACAATTGCATATACCGTTGTTGATATAATTCAACCCTATATAATTAATTGTGTGAGAACTGAAACCCCAAATCTAAAAGTTCATTGCTGAAAGTCATACAGATAAAAAGTGGTAGAGTTAGGATGCAGTCTCTGTTAATATCCATGTCCACCTGACTGGCCCAGAATGACCTTGCTTTATAATGACTCTCTCTTAAAGCAACTAATCTAGTCCCATGAGAATGAAAACTCACCACCCCAAGATGAGATGGCATTAATCCCTTCCAGAAGATGGATTCCTCATGGTGTAAACACCTCTTAGCGGTCCCACCATCTCTCAAACACCATCGCACTGGCAGCCAATCCTCAGAGTTTTGGTGGAGACAGGACAGAACATATCCTCACAATAGCTGCTTGCTTGGGTTCAGTCCCCGCCTGAGGAGCTTGTTTCTCTCTGCTTGACTAATCCTCGCTTCCATGTTGCTTTCTAACTCTAGCCAGGACCACAAGTGCTCCAACAACTGCTAGGGTTTCTACTACTGCTCCTACAACGCCAGCATCCACAAAGAGCCCCGAACCAGGTAACGAAACGTGTTTCAGAGCCCAGAGGCCTTCTAGCAGACCATTAAGAGCATTATGTAAGGCAGAGGTACAGTCTCGGGTAAGAGACCTCACCAGGATTCCAAACATGGCCTTTACCAGGTTTGTGATCCTCCCTCTCTCTCCAGATAATATGCACTTTTGGTATAAATAACCATTTTCTGAGTCCCTCTCTCCCCAGATAATATGCGCTTTTGGTATAAATAACCATTTTCTGAGTGGGGGTACCCTTCACTTTTTATCTGATTCTCAAAGGTTATTATGAGCCCAAAAGAGCTAGACCACTGATCCAGGGGATGTAATGGGATGATGTAGCTCTGGCCCAGCTAGACACAGCTTTATGATTAGAAAGTAGAGAAAGTGTCAGATTAATGTGATAGCTCACACAAGGAGTATGAAAAGAGTTCACTTAGGCCATCATGAAGTTGGAACCTCCATTTGAGGGTATGCTTTTAACAAAGTGAATATTTAGTGTTCCTATGTACCAGGCACCATGCTACATCCTTTAAGATATTACATCATTTAATTCTTAGGACAATTGCATATACCGTTGTTGATATAATTCAACCCTATATAATTAATTGTGTGAGAACTGAAACCCCAAATCTAAAAGTTCATTGCTGAAAGTCATACAGATAAAAAGTGGTAGAGTTAGGATGCAGTCTCTGTTAATATCCATGTCCACCTGACTGGCCCAGAATGACCTTGCTTTATAATGACTCTCTCTTAAAGCAACTAATCTAGTCCCATGAGAATGAAAACTCACCACCCTAAGATGAGATGGCATTAATCCCGTCCAGAAGATGGATTCCTTAGGGTGTAAACACCTCTTAGCGGTCCCACCATCTCTCAAACACCATCGCACTGGCAGCCAATCCTCAGAGTTTTGGTGGAGACAGGACAGAACATATCCTCACAATAGCAGCAGGCTAGGGTTCAGTCCTGGCCTGAGGAGCTTGTTTCTCACTGCTTGACTAATCCTTGCTTCCATGTTGCTTTCTAACTCTAGCCAGGACCACAAGTGCTCCAACATCTACTAGGGTTTCTACTACTGCTCCTACAACGCCAGCATCCACAAAGAGCCCTGAACCAGGTAACCAAATGTGTTTCAGAGCCCAGAGGCCTTCTAGTAGACCATTAAGAGCATTATGTAAGGCAGAGGTACAGTCTTGGGTAAGAGACCTCACCAGGGTTCCAAACATGGCCTTTACTGGGTTTGTGATCCTCCCTCTCTCCCCAGATAATATGCGCTTTTGGTATAAATAACCATTTTCTGAGTGAGGGTACCTCTCACTTTTGCCATAGGGTGGGTGCCACTATGCCCAGGTACTCTTCACTTTTTATCAGATTCTCAAAGGGATTATTATTAGCCAAAAATAGCTGGACCACTGATCCAGGACATGTAATGGGGATGATGTAGCTCAGGCAGAGCTAGACACAGCTTTTATGATCAAAAAGTAATGAAAGTGTCAGATTAATGTGATGGCTCACACAAGGAGTTTGAAGAGTTCACTTCGGAGTTTGAAGAGTTCACTTAGGCCATTCTGAAGTTGGACCCTCCATTTGAGTGTACAGTTTTAACAAAGTGAATATTTACTATTTCCTATGCACCAGGCAGCATGCTACATACTTTACGATATGACATCATTTAATCCTTAGGACAACTGCATATACTGTTGCCGATATAATACAACCCTACGTAATTGTGTGAGAACTAAAACCCAAAATCTAAAAGTTCACTGCTGAAAATTATACACATAAAAAGTGGTTGAGTTCAAATTCAGTCTCTGTTAATAATCATGCCACCTGAATGACTGAGAGTCACCTTGCTTTATGATTAACCTCTCTTGAAGTAACTAATCTAGTCTCATGAGAGTGAACTCACCACCCCAAGATGAGATGGCATTAATCCCTTCCAGAAGATGGATTCCTCATGGTGTAAACACCTCTTAGC